TCCTTTTTTTTTCAAATTTAATTAAATACTCATTTAAGATTGTAAAAAACACTGAAAACTAATTTTCACAAAGATTAGACAATATTCAGAAACAATATGTACAATTGTTCCTTTTAATTCTTTTGTAAAACTTTGATCAATCGGTCCGAGAAAACGGTTTGATGGATCGGTGATCAATTTAAAAATTTACAGAGCTATGGGGGGTACATGAAGCTGTAAAAACACCTAAAAACATTAGTCTCCCCATCAATATTAGTGAATACGCGGTAGATTTACTAAAACAACGCAAAAAAATTCTTTTTTTTTCTTTTCTTTAAATCAATTGAGGGTGAATTTTTTTTTCAAAAAAATCATGAAGGGATCTTGTAAGACATTTATTCCAGTTTTTAACACTACCCTTATATCCTTTGTGTGATCATTGGTTCCTGAGATATCAATGGTCAAAGACAAAAAGATCCTTTTTCATTTAAAGTCAGATATCTCAACGAAAAATTAAGAGCATACGAAAAAGGCATATTAAAGGTGAATAAACAGGCTATCCGACCTTAACTTAAAAAAAATCCCCACGTTCGTGGACCAAAAGCAAAAAGCATAAATTTATTTTCTTGCGCTATTACTCAGGATTACGTGATAACCGTAGCACAGAAAAAAAAATTGCCGTAAGATCTTAAAACTAGAAACTTAAAGCTTCAAAATGGTTTTTGTCTAATCTAGATAAGACCATTTTTCGGTGAATTAAATATCACCAAAAAATTTTTAGTTCCTTTAATTTTTTGGAATAGTGTAGTTTGTCACTTATTCTTTGACTTACTTGATACGTAGTACCATCATCGGTACCAACATCCCAAGGGTACAAATTGAGGTTACGGCTTTGTATCCAGCTGCAGTTTTGCAAACATAATTCCAAGTTGGCCACCCCTACAATCCAATCCGGTGATGGAGTAATTTTTGATACTAAAGAAATTAAATGGTTTTCTTTATCTACTCTAAACACTGTGTAAGACATTCCGGTGATATTGGGGTAAGGCAACTCTCGAGCTTTGATAATGGTCCGAATGTCGTCACTCTGAAATTAACTCTTATCCACTATAAGTACTACTCTTGTCTCATACCTTGACCATTTCTTTGAGTTCATTTTCCAGGAGCGAGGTATCGCCGTCTTCAGCCAAAAGCTTTAACCCATCACTGGCAACTTCTGAGTAATTCCAAAACGCTTTTCCGAATTTGTGAGACGCACCAATAACATCACCTAGTTTTGTCGTCCACATATTTGATGGAAAATCCTTAGGGTGCGTATTCCTAGTCCACATTCCTTGAAACGCCATCTAAGCAACTACAAGTCAAACAAAAACTACTAATTATTGTCAAAATTACTTCATATTTAGCCTCATCGCAGGCACAACACTCCTCAGAAAACGGTGGCTGCACATCCTCATTTTCCTCCTCTTGACATAAAGTTTTCACCAACCCTCCATCATCAATATACCAACTATCACTCGATTCAAACACCATTGCTTTAATAGAAATACAGTTATTCCCGTCTGTGGTGGCGGGTGGTGCCTTCCACAAAATTTCAATATGTGATTTCGCTAGATTATTATTCTGTATAACTGCATTAGGACACTTTGGTGTAAATTTTGACACTGTGGGGTCGACTGGAGTTAAATCACCCGTACCGACGGATTCAGGAGTTTTTGAAGGATTTTCCGGTTCAACCACTATCATAAACTCAGTGAAATGGTTAGTAACAGGGTTTGACGGACTCGTCTTTAACGCAACTGAAATTAATCTTTTATAAAAATCGCTGGAACGAGATTTTCATACTTGTATAGGTTGCTTCAGGTGAATAAGTCTCAGGATTTCCTAAAATTTCCAGAACATATTTATCGATGTTGCGTTTAGGGTCTTCAGCTTTTCGCGGTGTCCTGTCACAGTTGTAACTGTGGGAAAAGCTCACCTGGAGGAAAACTACACCCATAATGAAACAGAAATGTTTCATTGTTCTAGAACAGGAATCCAGATGAGAGATAAGGTGATGGAGATAATAGGTTGGTGCTACAAAATTTTAAATAGTTTTAACCTTGGACTAGTAACACAATTGGACCCAATTAATAATAATTAACACAAAAATAAACAAAGGTTGAGTTTGGTCAAATATTCAATCACTTGTTCTAAGAACATTATCTTCATTTTTTGACGTCTGCTAAACTTTGCAATAAATAATCACGTTTATAATGAAATTAATCATGAAATTTATATTTTTGATCATCAAGTATTAAAACTAAACTTACTCTAAAAAATATAGTGCAGCATCTGAAGAGAATATCGACCAACTAATTACGATATTGACGCTTCTTCACTGAATTTTCTATTTTGTATCATGCGCAGTTGCAAATATCTTCAGTTATCTCTTTATTATAAACATTTACGACGATAAAGTTTGAAAACGTAAAAATAACACGTGTTTTAATAAATATTCAAGTTGAAACAGCAAATAAATAATGATTTTTTAAAAAATAGAAAATTTGTATAAAAATATTTGTTAATTGTCAGTCCGTTAAAAATGTATTAAATGAAGAAATAAGAAGAAAATATCACAGATTCTTTGACAAGCCTACCAATTATTAAATCAATTTTGAAATGTCTTATTAAATTAATTTTGTCGAGCTTGAGACGCCTGAAAATTCATTAAAAATCGTATTAATGAAAATTCTTTGTAGCCGCTTAAGAACAATTAGTGGGTGAAAATAAATCCACGGAAAAATTTAAATGTTTTTATTAGAGGAATAATTCCATTCAGATTACAAAAATTTAATAAATAAATAAATGTTACAATTAAATCTACCTCTAGAAAAGATTAAAATTGAAATATGTAAACGATCTTGGTACTTTTTACATAAAGTGACTGAAATTTATTTGATATCTTTGTTATTGTCACAATTTTTACTAAATAAATTCTAATTATATCTAATTTCAACTGTTCGTTGCCCTTGATATGCAGTAAAAAATTAGTAGTGTCCTTTGCAAAAACAACGCCTTTTTTCGACTTTCGCAGAGCAGGGTGTCCCGTTGGGGGTGGGATGTACGAGCACGCGTCTGTACCTTTCTTGGAACTGTTCTTTGAAACATCTAGGGTCACACTTGGTCCAATTCGTCCACGGCGACATGACGCAATCGACCCTAATGTTATCAAAAGTATTAAAATTGTATTTGGTTTTCAAATCGTTGGTGCATAAAACGTGACATTTTTTCTTCTTCGTTAATCTCTTGGAGCACGGCTTCCCGCCATCAGCCGGGTGAACCTGAAAGCGATAAATCGTTTTCTCCTCCGATAAAATTGTGATAAATTACTTTGATTTGTCTATATTTCGTCCTATATCCGTTACCACAATGCCCTGTGATATTGCAGTGGCTCCAGCTGGACCACTTGGTAAGAACGCAGTCTGTCGAATTAATTACTTTTATCTGAGTGTAGGGTCGATGCGAGGGCGCTGAAACTGCCCAAGTGGATTATTTTCACTTAAAAATTAAGTCCTACGTTCAAAAATAATTACCACAGTTATTACCATTGATTGCGTCGTTCTGGACGTTGTAAGAAAGAACCCCCGAAATTGTTACGTCGAGTTGGCGTTTATGAGCCGTAAGGTTCGCGATTAATTCTTCTAGAATAAAAAAAAACATTTGGTTTGTTTTTATTGTCGAGAAAGAATTAGACAACATTACGAGAATAACTCACTTTGGTAGTCCGCACAAACTTTCTGACACTGCTCGAGGGTTTTGAAATTGTTTGAATTTCCATCACAACCGCTGTAGCTAAATATCTCGCAATTTCCCTTAATGTTGTCGAAGTACCATCTATCAGTGTTGCTTTTGCACGCCCCGACGTCTTTGGGCAAACTGCAAACGTAGCCTGAAATGCAAAGCGATATGTCGGTTTTTAGAGTTTCGGTCAGCTAAAGGCTGTATTGTTATTTTGGATTACTAATTAATTACTCTAATCTAATCACTGTCATTGCTTTACAATCTTTCTCTATTTAAAACATGTTGTTTTTAAGACTGTTTCATTTAGTGAAAAATTATGTTTTTGATCAAAGTATTATTAAAAATACATTAATAAATTGATACTTTAATTTTATTTAATAATAAGTGCAATTAGTTGAAAATTTAGTTGACCCTTTTTAGAGAAATTGATTTAATGTTATTTTAATTATCATACACTAGTCTACAGCTTAGATGAAAGTTGTAATTTCTTATAGATTTTGAGGCACTGAGTTCAAAAAAAAATTCAAAAAAGTCCACCACATCACATTTAAAAAATAATTATGTAATTAACAAAAATACAAAAACTGCTAAACAACAAATTAAAAATGGATTTTTTTACTTTGTTTTTTATACTTTTTTAGATCAGTTTAATTTATAACAGTCCAACAGTACATTTTCATCCCAAAAATCTTTGTGCTGATCTTCGAAAACCCTTCAGATCTAGATGAAAACGCTCGCCCTGTTCGTTACTCATGCTGTCTAAGTTTTTAGAAAAGAAGTCCAAATGCGAGTCAATAAATAATTTAGCAACAATTTGAATTTCAAATAAATTTTAAATCGGAGGCATTTGTATAGGAAGCAGGAAAATTATCGTTAATAACAAAAAACTGTGACGTGATAAAAAGAATTAACAATTATTTTTGTTTAATTAGGTAAAGGTAAATAAACATAAAAATAATAATTTCATTAATGGTATATTAAACAAGTTATTATTTGTAAACTAGTGGTATTGGTCTCAACATTCGTTCAAGAAAGGCAGAAGCGTCGTCTGCGTTAATTGACAATAATAAAGGTTTGTCCAATGTCAAAAAATGGGGGCATCGGGGGTTGAAACCTTGATAAATTTTTGTATACAAAAATTTACTTTTGTGTTTTATGGGTTGTATAATAATAAATGCGTAATTGTTTACTTTTGATTGTAATTTATTCTAAGATCTAGATCAAAAACATCAAAAATTATAACATTTTTTACGCAAGTAAAATTTTATTTATTATTAAAAAAATAAAAAATTACATTTGGGTTAAATAATTATTTTTAATTTTTAAAAATCTACAAGAACATTAACATTACAATAATTTTTTATTATTTCTTCAATACTTCGAATAAAAAACACAAGGATTAATTTTATTCTGTATTAACTAGTTCTCCATTATTCTCTATTATTTTTCTGCTTTGAGAAAACCCCTTGAGAATTTCCCGTATATCTTTTTAGTTGTTTTGGATGGAGCTTTTAAAAACTGACTTCTTCTCGCAAATTCGTAACCTCTTGGAGAAATGTACCTCCAGGCAATACAATGACGTACTTAGCTTCAGACCATCTTGGGTTTTTTAGGAAATAATTTTAAATTTGATCAAGTAAAAACACTGCTCTTGGTTCTAAGTCTTTTGAATCTAACACAATTTTCACAACACAATGTTGACCTTTACTGTAATTGTCAATTTTTTCCTGCATTTTCTTTAGTTTTTCAAGTTTATTTTCCTAGAGTTTATTCAACTGTTGAAATCTTATATTTGTTTCCTGTAACTTTTTTTCTAAATTTTTAATTTTATCTACATAGTAAGACATTTTTTTCCCAAACCTATTGCATCAAAATAACATTTTTTGAATCAAAATCATGAGTATCACCTACTTTTAAATTGCTTTGTTGATCAAAATCAAATCGAAATGGACTCGAAATTATATACACGGTGCAGGTGTTTTTAATGGCTTACGTTCTGAATTAATGGAAATGATAGAGATTATCTGAAAACGAATAATTCTTTTATAATTCAACAACAAGGATGGAACTGCATTTGATAAAAAAATTTTTTATAATAACTCGTTATTTCAAAGTTTGGTTTGGAACACAGCAAGTTCGGATACTTGGCATTTTAAGAATTATAATGTAATGTCTGAAACAATGATACTATTGCGTTTCTTAAGCTGAAAAAGATTGTTCGTGGACAGATCAATACTTGATTAAATATGTGAACAATTGTCACATTTAATTTCCTGTAAATTTTCAAATTTCAATATTATTGGAGTGTGGCGAGCGCGTCATCTACCGGAATTGACCATTTTGACAAGTTCACAATTTTGGGCTATTGGACTGACTTTATATTACTGTTAATCAACGCAGACGACGCACAAAAGTGTTAATTGAAGCCCGTTGACAGTTTGCGAAAGCAAAAAATATATTTGACATTAATTAAATTTCTGTTTTCACTCCCGTGTAATTACAAATTTGCACAAAACTGAGACCTTTTGAAATTTTATAGTTGATGTTCGTTCTATATTACGCTTTGATCGATTATAGTTAATCTATAAAGTAATAAAAAAGTTAATACTTTTCGAAATTAAACTTTTTATTGAATAGAGCCTGTTGGACAAAAACAAACGAATATTTGTAATTAACTAATTAATTACACTACCTTTCTCGGGCAGCTCTTCCTCGTGTTCGCACGACTTCTGGAAGCATTCTACCGTCTCCTTAACTTTCTGGTGGCTACACGGATCATCCTCATCAAATTCCTCGGTTTCGTCGTAACTTCCCGAATTGGGAACAAACGGCCAATTCTGCGATTGTAAAGACAGTCTATACCTCACTTTAAACCCTTTACCACAAGTCACCGAACAAGGCGACCACTCGCTCCAGGGTTTCTGCGGACAATCCACCACTTCCTCTTCCAAATCATCGCACTTTCCCTCCCCGTAGCACTCCAAGTTTTCCTGCAGCTTCGGGGGATTAACCTTCGACGCGGCGCAACTCTTCGCCGCAAGTCTATTCTTGTACTTCCTATCGCGCGTCTTGGTGCCTCTCCCACAGGTGACACTGCAGCTGGACCACTCACTCCATTCCCCCAGCACGCACTTGGGGTCTTGCACCTCGCGCACCGGCTGGTGCGGGCAGTATTTCTGCACAGCTTCGCATCCTGCACGTTCAGTCAGTTTCTTGTGGCAGACGTATTTGCTTTCCTCATTTTTGTATCGACGTTGCTTGTATTTGACCCCGCGGCCGCAGGTGGCCGAGCACGGGGACCAATCGGACCACTCCTCGGTCTCGCAGCCGTCGCTGTCGTCGTAGTCTTCGGCGATCGAGGGGTCGCATAATTTCTCATAGAGGCGTTGACGGGACAAATAGAGTCGGGCTAGAGGTTTCATCTCGGCACCGCTTTTGTCGTAAAATGGGGAACGAGGATCTTTTGGACTGGTCGCTGTTATGCGTTTTATGGGCTGGCGAGGCGAGGATGGCTGATTAGGGGACTGCAACATCAATAGGGATTCAAATGACTCATTTGCCGCTTGCTTTCAAAATAAGCCGGCGAGAGGCAGTTTCATTGAGGGTTAAAGGATGATGGTTTGTTTTAGGGGGGATTTGTGAATGGGACGCTTTTTCGACGAAACTCTTTTACGGGGGTTTGGAGGACTTTAGGATATGCTCGACGAAATTTTATTCGTTCCAAATGTGGACAGAAAATTAAAATTCAGTTGAGAGGAACTGGTCAAGGTAAGCGAGTCTGGGAAGTTAATTCAACAATGGACTGACTAGTAGTGACAATAATCGACTTAACATTTCTACCTAACCAAATTTAAATAAATTATTATGGGTGATTTATTCCCAAAACACCTAATGACTTTTTACAACCTTTCATATTATTTACTTTATATAAAATTCCGTTGTTTCCGAATCACTTAGGATAATGTTATCTACTTTAGTGCTTTTGTCCCGAAAAAGTTCATTAATTCAAAATAGTAGATTACATACAGAGGTGGGAGATGCCGAAGCAACGTCCACCAAGATTTAATGTATACTATTTTTTTTGCATAGTGATTATGAAAGTTGATTTTTCATCACGATTAATCGTATAGAAAGTTATTAAACGATTTCTGTAGTTATATTTTTATAGTTTCTATAGAGTTCGTTACAAAGAGCTCGCGATACATTACGATTTGATTTATCCAATTTATATCTTTTTGGTCTTTGGAGTTCTTAGGGTTATCACTATGCAAAAAAATGTTGTTTGCAACTCGTTTTGAAAGTCCTTTTTTTCACTCATTTACTCCCTCAACTGCAAATTCGTGAAAAAAAGTATGACTTTCAAAACTAGTTGTACAAATAACAATTTCACAACCATCCTCTTTAAAGAACAGAAAACCAACAAAGAATTTATCAAATTTTGGAAAACATGACATATGACAGAGTTCAGGTTGAAAAGTGGTTGCTTTTTTAGGAGTTTTTGGGCTGAGAAGTGGCCATTTCCCAACCTGAACTGTCGTATTACATGTACACTTCCTAACCTGAACTGTAGGCATATTTCATATCAATTGTCAAATAAGTTGAAATGGCATACTTTTCAACTTCTAACATGCAAGGTTACTTTGTGATTGTGAAAAAAATGATTTTCTTTACAAATGTGTTTCTCGGAGTGTCTATTAAGCTCTTATCAGAACGATTTTTTTAATAAATATAATAAAAATTTAAAATACTAATAGTCATATTCCAAAGTGCAAATGTAAAAACACATTCGTGTTCATAATTAGTGTCTTAAACAAAACTCAACAGGGTTGAAATTTTAAGCGAAATAAAATTCTTAACTTAACTTCGTTACCATAGTAACCAATTTTATTTTTTAGTTCGCAAAAACTATTTTTGGGGACTGAGCACCTAAAATAACCGTTTTGCATACTATTTTATTGAGTCCAGAAACACTGCTGTTTTCGGGAGCGTATATACAAAAAAAGATTTTTGTGAAAAATCCCGAAACAATTGTTTCGATCAATTTTTTGTTTTGGTCAATTGTTTTTAAATGTAATGGGTATGTCAAGTAAATAAATAAATAAGTTAATGCATGAAATATTCAAAATGAGCACCGTTCATTTCTTGACATTGCAAAACGATAGTAGCATACATTTCTTACGTTTGACAACACTTCGGGTGTGATTTCATGCCTAATATCTTCTTTAAGGTCCTCAATGTTGTTCGGTTTTGTTATAAATCACACTCGAAACATAGCAAAATGTACCATTACATTTAAAAAAAGAAATTTGGGGCTATTCAGGAAAGTCCGATTGTGAACGAACCATCCTATTGAAAGTTATTAATCTGACATTTGACACTACACCGGGCGTATTAGAAATTGTGGTTCGTTCACAACTCACTTATATCACCGCCAACTATGACGCCAAATTTAAATAAACACCTGTTACAATACGTCCCTAAAATGGGTGTTTTCCGGAAATTTTGTTAATAAATAAAAAGTGTAAATTCGTTTTTTTGGGAGCTTTAACAAAAAATGTTTTGATGGGTAATGTCATTTTAAAACTTCATCTTTTTGTTAAAAAAGTAGTTATCCTGTATAATTTTGACAAGAGGGTATATTTGGGAATGACACTAACTACTAAAATTTAATCCTCGTTTTTACGGACTCTACAGGATGTCCTGAAAATTGTGCACCTCCTTGAAAGGGAGCAATTGAGTAGTCCCCCAGAGTACTGAAAAAATGTTTAAAAGAGTCTATCTATCAAAGAATTTTGACATTTGGCATTTTTTATATCTATTTAATGATAGTGATGATTTTGTATATGTTTTCTTATAATTATTTCGTAAAGGTACAAAAATTTTGCCAATAAAAGCCACAAATAGCATTAAACCGAGATACAATTTAGGATACAGCTTCCTTGTTTCTTCTTCTAATAACCTGTAGCATTATTATTTTTCCAACAGAAATAAATAAAAGTCCAAGTGCAAAATTTAAACTCTCATAACTTCGAAATTTTTATAGATAGATTTTTTTTGTTGTCTAGGACATCGCCAGATAATACGGTGTTAGGAGGTGCGCGCCTTTCCGGACAACCTGTATATCTATAAACAGTAACGATTCGTCCGTAAAAGCTATATTTTAGATACTTGTAACAAAAATAACTATTTTAAATAAAATAAAAAAATATTAAAAGATTCGTTACAGCAGGTCATTCTTTCTTACTTTACAGGATACTGAAGTTTTAACTATTTATAAACATCATCATAATTGAAAATTTTCATACTTTCTCTTTTACATAAAATTATTTTAATCCAACTAAGTATTCAAAGCCACTGTACATACATGTTTTGCTTAGTAGAGATAAAACTTTTTTCATTCGCATTCCAAATTCCAAAGAATGTGAGTAAAATCTGCACATTTTCCCATTCGACTCTCCAAAAATTTGTTTTCACATTTATTTTAACTTGCGAGTTTAGTAATAAATAAAATAAATCCAGATTTGTACTTACGATGTATGTTATTCCATCATCGGTGCCCGCATCCCACGGGTACAAATTCAATATCTTTGATTCTACCCAAGAACAATTCCGTAGACACAACTCCAAACTAGAAACTCCGACAATCCAGTCGGGCGAAGGATCAATCATTGAGACAATAGACATAAGATGGTGTCGATTGTCAACCCTGAACACCGCAAATGTTTTCCCTGTAATATTCGGATAACTTATACCTCGCGCTTTAATAATGGTTCTTATGTGATCGCTCTAAAGAAAAATGAAACTAATTAATCAGAGCGGAATTCTTTCTGTTTCCAACTTTAATTACTTGCCTTTGCTTTTAATTCGCTTTCGAGCATCCTTGTGTTGCCATTTTCTGCCAGTTGTCGAAGGCCTTCGCTGGCAATATCGCCGTATCTCCAAAAGGTGTAATTCACGGTGTGTGAAGCCCCGATGATGTCGCTGAAGCGGGTTAGTCATCCGTTGGAGGGAAAGTCCTTCGGGTGAGTGTTTCTCGACCAGAGGCCCTCAAAAGTCACCTGAAAACCCACACAAAAAATCAAAATTTCATTAGATTCTTGAATTTACCTCGTATTTCGCTTCGTCGCACGCACAACAGTGCTTGAGAATAACGGGCTGGATATTATCGCTCTCTTGCAAATTTTCACATAGTGTTTTAGTGAGAGACCCATCTTCCCCGTACCACACCTCATCGGAAATGACGACAGCCCCCTTGAATGTAACACAACCGGTCCCGGAAGCCGGAGCCAGCCACAATACCTAGAATTGTGATCGAAAATTGGGGTCCGGGGTTTCTCAACATTGTTATATTAATATTCACCTGGATTTCGGTTTTGGACTGTGAATCGGCCGAGATTACAGTACTGGAACATTCCTCACTGAATTTCGTCAAGGAATCGCCGTATAATTGGATTGAGGGACTCGGAGATTTGCGTTTTTCATTTTCGAAGCTTAACATGAATTCGGCAAATTTTTCGTCAGTTGTCGCGCGTAAAAATACTGCAAAAATGCGAATGCTTACATAATTAATAATTGGAGATTAAAAGAGTGGAGTCTTCAAACGTGCTAATTACGAAAACTCGACGATATTTTTGTATTCAAGAGAATTTCCACACCGAGGAAATTTTAAGACGGAGTGGAAGTGATAGATGATGACAAGACCATGAATTTCACAATCGGATCGGAGTATATTGAACAAAATTGAATATTCGGAAGATTGAGGATTATTTTTAAAGATAAATGGGGTGAGCTTATTGAATACTGAACCTTGGGGTTGACCTTAATGATATAAAAATTAATCATCTCAAAAACACACATCATTATATTGCAGTTTTGTGTAAATTCAGTTATCTACTTTTATTTTAATATTCTGAAAATAATAATGAAATTGTCGGTTTATAATTAAGGACAAAACCAATACTCCTATTTCACAATGAAACTGAGTAATAATTAAAATAATTAATTTTACTCGTCATAGTTGATGTTAAATAAATATGCTAGTTATTAATTTTGAATTTACTTTACCAAACCTATTATACAAGTTGCATTATAAAAAAATGCCCCAAGCCGTATTATTTTTAAAGATACGAGTATGACAATGCATCTCTAACAAAGCTGATCAGTTTATTGTCTCCAATTTTTTTCGATAGATGTTCAGTAAATGCTACTTCCTGTTTCTTTAAAAGTGACATTAACTTTCGTTTTCTAAATGAAAAAGTATACCGTGATTTTAAAGTTTGTGCAAATATTTTAACAGGTGATTAGTAGACCTCAAAAGAAGTCAATATAACTCAACTTGATTTATCCGAATGTTTATAGTTTTTGGGATATAAAGAGTTTTGTTCGTCGAATAAATTTAAATTTGAGGAGCACCAAATCAAATTCTAAACAGATATGATCTCTAGCTAGAGGTTAGTTCTTCAAAATGTATTTATCTATCTATCTAGTTATTCAAAATATACATAGTTTTAAAGTAAATGAGTTAAAATTAGCAAAAACAGGCACAGAAAAAAGAATCCTCATATAAAAACAATCATACCGGGTGTCCAGTCTCAAACACGAAAATGGGGAAATAATGTTGAATGCAATTTTTAAATATTTTGCCAATTTCTTCAATAACAAAATAAACAGGTATCTACGTAATCAAGAATTTAATTGATTTTTATTAAAATCAACAAAAAAACTTTAGTAATAAAAAACAAATATGTTTTGATCCTAGAAGCTCTTTCTGCATTGCAATTATTATTTATTTTTACTTAACTCTAAAAAAAATATTAAAAAACTTTGACGTTTTTGACAACAAATACCGCATATTTATTTCACGTATTAATAAATTAAAATGCCATTTTTATTCTTATTTTTGGAATCCATTATTTGATGCAAAATAATTTTATTTCACTTTACTTGTTGGCGACCAAAAATAGTTGATACCATGTTAAATCCCTATGTTCGTGAGTGAGACCAGACACCCGGTATAACAAATCATAAAAAATTGCATCAATTTTTTTCGTTGAAAATACAACCGAAATTCATTACCTCAAATCTTACCGGCTACTAAATAGCAATGTGAATCTTGAAACAAAGTACTCAAAAGGTTCAAACTTCGTTTACCTAAACCTATTGTATTTTTTTGAAAATTTTTTCCGCGGCAAAGTGGTGGTGACACCTTCTATATCTCAAAAACTGTAAACATTCGGATAAGGTAAGTTTACTTATTTTGACTTCTTTTTGAACTCTACTATCACCCGTTAAAATATTTGCACAAACTTTATTTTAAAATTACGTGATTTTAATACAGGGTACCTTGTATTTATTGAAGCAGGCAGTGGACAACAATAATATTAAATAGTGTTGAGAAATGTTATTATTAATACGCATTAACTATTAGTGTTCCAAATCGTTGATTATTTACCTAAGTGACTTGAAGAAAATTTAAGGTTGGATGTTTTTAGAAAACCCAAATTAGAGCTTTTTTCATAGTAAACCGTTCAGTGTAAAAGCTCCCACTATTTTTATTGCATTCAAAATATATTTGTTAACACATTATCATCTCTGATTAACACAAAAAGTATAAAACGCTAAGAGAAAATGCAAACTAATAACAATTTTCAACATTATTTGATATAATTGTTTTCCAATGTCTACTTTAACAAATAGATTAATTGACAAATATCTCAATAAAGAGTGGTTTTAGGCATGTTGTACTAAAACTTTTTAAACGCAATTAAGTAGAGAATTCAACAATAATAAAATATACAGGTTCTTTCATATAAAATATTGAAATTGACTTCCGTTGAAACAGGAAGCATCCTGTATTGACTGAAAAGTAGATAATATATCATTAAACCGTCCAACTTTTATTCAAGAAGTATTGTCATATCTTTAAAAATAATGGAATTGTGGCTTGAGGCGTTTTAAAAAATTTCGCATTCAGCCTTTTGAGTTCGATGTTGTGCACAATTGTACATTGTAAACAAAATTTAACAATATTTAACAATAATCCTGTATTTTTAGTTTTTCGACATGTGTGTTGATAAAAGCAGTATAACTGCATCAAAAGCGCAAAAATTAATTAACTTGTTCGATTTATCGATTGAGCAATTGTCGCAGTAGCTTACGTCTAACAATTTTCACCATTCTGAAATAAAAAAAGTATGAGCAATATTTCTAAATTCCTTCTAGAGATTAAATAATGGACCAGTTAGTTACCGTAAAACGTGCCATTTAATTCCATGTTGTTGAAGAGCGGCATGTTTAGCCTGCATTAATAATTATGTACATAATTTTGCAGCTGTCCTGGTTTGCACTTTTTACGAGTCGTCCGTGCCCCGGCATCAAATTTGTCTTAGTTTTGCATCATCCGGGGATTTATCTGTTGGCTACGTCACCGCGAGCCGTTTGCGCTTATGTCAAGTGTCAGTAGCAGCGGGTAATCATTCTTGACCGTATGCTAGGTCACCCCATACCACCATACACGAAGATTTACTTAGGCGAATCGTTAAGACATTCAAGCCGAAAGTGAAATGTTCGCGTATGTGGAAGAAGCGATTGTGATCCATTGTCTTGTCATCATCTATCATACGGCACTCGAGAATTTCAGGAAAATTTTCAGCCAGCCATTCGGAAAAAAAGCTTTCTTAATTTTTGGTAAATCAAAAAGCAGCAGTAAGTTAAGCAGGTTTACCTCATATTTTTTAGTTTTTCAGAGTTATAGATATTTATATTTTATGTAACCATTAATCTAAAAAAACGATAAATCCTTGTTAAATTCCAAATCGGTTTCCAAACTATTACAGGTTATTATCATTAATATTTGTTTATTTTAACAATGTTTTCGTTGTTTCGGAAAAATATAATATAAAGGGAATCCTAACCCGGCGCATCTACCATAATTTAACTGTTGAATTATTTTATTATTATTATTTTATTCCCAAATGTTAGTACCACTGAAAACTAAATTTAAATATATCTAATATACATCCTTTAATTTCATTTAAAATGAAATATCTGACCAAAAATGTAATTTAATTTTAAATAAGATTAATTTAAAAACAGCACATGCTCCTCATTTCCGTTTTATTATTTGGAAACAGAAAATGTAAAGAACGTAAATCGCGCGTCCACCAAAGTTGCAAATAAAATCATTACATTGTTTCAAATTACAATAAGCATTTTATGTTAAATCGAATGATTAATTAACTAACAATAATTCCACAATCGACTATCAATTTGAGTGGTCACAAAAACAATTCTAATTTATATTAATAAAACAATGAGATATTAAAATTTATTTAAATGAAGTTTATTTATAATTTTCATTCGCCTTATTTGAATGAGAAGCCAAGATGTAACTGGTATGTTGTAAGTTGGGACGAAAGTCTATTTATTATATTAAATAAATTTTGAAAAAAGTTTGAAGAAGACAATCACGAGATAAATCTAAAGAAAATGAAAAATGTAAACACGAAATTCATTTAGAGCCACCCGAGTTCAGCTGATTTAACTGCTTTTAAATCTTTCTAAAAATTACAATAAGTCTAGTTATATTTCATTCCTTTGTGAGACGAGAAAGAGTAAGTCTCAAAGTAAATACTGCAAATTGAAATTGATTTTGTCTTTAGATTATTAAGAGCAAAATTCGGTGCTTCATTTCATTTAAACGAGCAAACTCGATAGAACAGTGTTTAAGTGTTTTGAGTTTTAATTAAAAGAATACAATTAGCGGGATTAGCACCACCACTGATTAAATCTCTATTATTTTTAAGCCAAATGTTGCGTATATATTTATAAAGTTTACTTTTCAACGTCGTTATTTATACCCAGCGCATCAGAAAAAGCGTCTGTCGACTACTTTAAAAACATTAAATTCACTTGGCGTCAGTAAGTAGCTTTAGAAATGTAAATAAACACTTTTAACAGAAAAAGGAAATTAGTTTTTCGGTCTCGTCACTGGCTACTAAATCCGTTTATTTCGATTTAATGAGAAAAGATCGAAGCGTGAAGTCGAAAAAATTGTCGCAAATTATTATACGCGACTAATTGGACGATTCGGTTAAGAGCGAGCGAAGAATCTTTCACGCGATTTGTGGAGCCACTGTAATTAGACCGGCCATCGATTTAACCATCAAAAAGAAAATTAAACCTGACATACGACACAAAAGTCGGAATGTTAATGCTATCATAAATCTCGGACTGAAAAGCGGCTGAAAGAAGTCTTACCGGTGTATTGTTCTCCCGGAACGTAAGTGGCGGGGTTTCCGGAGATTTCAATTTGGAAGTGACCAGGATTTGGTTTCGGCGAGACTCCTTCCAGGGTCCTGTTGCACTGGAGACGACTGCTGCCGACCACAGCGCTGAATACTAAGCAAGACCAGACCAGTTTCAGCATTTCTGAAACATTGTATATTTATAATCAGAGACCCGACGTTATTCAACGTCTAACAGAATAACCCTGATTTATCATTTGGGGTGATAACCAGAGAATTTCATTCAAAATAGCTTATAGAAATCGAAAATTGATTCAGGATAAATGGGTTTTGTTCAAACGGAGTGGCGAATTTCGGCATTTGACTTATGATAATAATTTCAGGCAATCAAACAATGCCAAATAAACCATGTTATTATAGGGAACAAATTAAATGCATAGTATGTTATTTAAACGACAAATATTGTTCAGTAAAAATAATAAATGCACAGTAAAATAATAAATGCACAGTAAAAATAATAAATGCACAGTAAAAGTATATTATAATACTAGTTTATAAGCCTTTAAAACGACTTTTAACGTCGTAAGTGTTTTAAAGGCGCTTATAAACGAGTGTTATACGCTATTTTTTATTATACCTGCCCATTTACAATCTTTTATGAGCATTGAAAAAATGTGAAGGTTGTTTGTGAATCGTTTTAGTAGAGACGGTTACTAGTTTAGGTTGTTAAGCACATGTTTTCACGTTGTAATTGGTCCAGACATTTCACTATTTCTTGCTACCTAGACAACTTTAAAATTTCAGCGTGCTATAAAGGCCAAATTACGCACGCTGCAACGTGTTTTAATTTAGAATTATGATACAGGTATAATAAAAAAATAATAAATACACAGTAAAAATAATAAATGCACAGTAAAGACAAAGAATGAATGTCTAGCAAAATTAATTAATTTATTATTCACACATTTACAAATAAAATGTTTCCGAGCAAAATCGGAATATCGCAAAGCGTTCAAAAACAAAATAGTGATATCAGGAGCACTGATTACCATTTGTGCACAGTTTCCAGCCCTTGCTAAAATCATTCTTGCGCAGGGGCCCTTGCTAATACATATACCACCCTCCAATAATAATAAATATTCAGTAATATAAAAATACTTAATTACCAATAATAAATAACATTCTTGCGCAGACGCCATATATTGTTATGTAACCAAGACTGAAAATTCTTTAAATTTTATGTTGTTTTACTAATTTTGATTAGTTACTGAGTGTTTATTAATTTTACTGTGCAAATTTGATTTTTTACTGAACAAATTACAATAAAATACTGTGCGTGCTTTACTTAGAATTTATTATTTTTACTGTGCAAAATATTATATTATATTGATCATTTTTATTTTTTTCCTGTACAAAAATTAATGAAATATTGATCATTTATCATTTTATACTGATCAAAATTTAATTATTTACTGAGCGCTTTATTACTACCGTTATTATATAAAATTGTTTTTCTCATTTTTTTTAATAAAAATTCTCTCTGATTTAAATTCGCATGACTTGGTTTATGCATATTAGCTATGCTATAGTGTTCAACGACCGAATAAGAGCGTTCAGCTAAGAAAATTGCTACCACTTGACCTGTAGCACATTTAAAATGCACTTTGACACCTTCAATATTCGTAATTTGCATTTGTAGGTCACAAAAAACATCAGCATAAATTGTCTTGAAATTAACAAAGAAACTCGTTTTACATGGAAAATTATTGTCACTCCTAAAAACTGTTATTAATTTGCTTTTTTGCACAATATCCAATTTTTATTAGAAGTATCTAAGGAAATTGAAACAGAGCGAGAGAAAAGAAACGAGATAAAAGTTGCAATTATCCTTGTTTAAGTAATTGCTTTTCTTTGTTAGTAAATTCTAATTATTGATTTTATAGACGAAAAATATGAAATTCGCATTAAATTAAATTTTATTTTTGCTGAAAATTTTGTTTCCTTGATCGTCTTGTATTAAAATTTGCAACTCACTCTTTAATTACTCAAACAGCATTACGTAATTCCCAGAACGGAATAACAAGCAGTCTCTTTTCATTTTTAATAGAATTTGCGCAATGAATTCAAGCATGAGGTATTATCGAATTTGGATTTTCTATTTCGTATTTGTTGTGAGTTGCATCGAACGATGTTTGTGTTGAATGCAAAATAATATCCCTCTGAAATTGCATATTTTGCTCCATTTTCAGAACGTGCTCACTTTAAACTTATTTCGGAACATAACAATTATTATTTTCATGAAAACTAAAAGTAGTGGTTTCAAATTGGACAAAAGCAAACATATGAAAGCACATACACGACGATTAAAGTTTTGAAAGCGTTGCGAAATTCACTTTGTGTGTGGATCTGTACACAGTTACTGTTAATTATCCCTCACGTTTAAATTAAATTTGGATACTCTAGTCTATCCAATGCCTGTTTTACATAAATACATACGTTCAGGACGCAGAACGACGCTCCGATTTGTTAAAAAGACACACGATAGGAAGTTCGATTAAAGCAATATTTGAACACGTCAGTTTATCAATTTATCAAAAAGGAATGAAAGTTTTATCGAAAATAAACGATAAATTGCATTTCGTGTTAAATACAGAGAGAGTTCAGTTTAGATATTGTATTTTCAATAAATAAAAAAATAATATTTTGGTAATTAGAATTTCTTGTGTATTATTTTGTTTAATTTCTCTCTAAATAATAATTACTTAATAAAAAGCAAAGGTTCTTTAAAAAATTCTCTAAAACCCCAAAGCAATCAAAGCAATTTGTTTTTCAAGACGGTAATACAAAATTGCATGTAAATACTAGTTCGTAGTAATGCTAATAAAATACATACCACAATATTTTTATAGCTAGAGTTTTTAAACTAATATTATAGTTGTGTTTTGTTCAAAAATTTTTCTAACACTAAGATTAGATCAGAAACAGTATAAGATATTATTATTAGAAAAAAATAAAAAGTAAATATATTATTACTAGTTTAACTACAGTGTTACGAGTATTTATTTAAAATATACAGTGTTTCGATTTAAATTTTTATTTTTTGAGGTTTAGCCCTGCTTGGTTAAACATTAATTTGTATGCCTTGGAAATTTTAAAAAACCTATTTTTCTGTAGAGTAAAGTGCCTTTTGTGTGGCAAATACGACAAAAAGTTATTAATAAAAGTTGTTTAGAATCAACATATAGGTCATATACCTACCAACTTTCAAAATCATACTTCACAAATCAAAAAAAATATTTCTAATACGATGATTTTGAAATTTGGTATTGGGGACTAAATATTAATTCGTAGCAACTTGTCTTAATAACTTTTTGTCGTATATTTTACAAAAAAACATGAAAAATCATAGTTGGTCGAAATTTGGTATAGAGGACTAAACAATTTTTCTCTATAACTTTTTCTCATAAAAGGCACTATACTCTACAAAAAAATTGTTTTTTGTTTTAAATTTCTAAGACATACTTACTTGATTTTTCACAAAAAAAATCTTTAATCAAGCAGGGCCGACACCAAAAAATCAAAATTTAAATCAATTTTTTTTTCTTTTACAATAAGAGTCGTTTCACCTAACCGGGGACACACTGTATGTATAAAACCGTCAACTCAATTCACAACGACTTAGAGGGTATTTTATTAGTTCATGATGTACATAAAAATGCTCAGGATCTAATTTCAACAGTCTACAATTTTCCTTTTTTTGTATTTTTTAAACTTGATAATTCATTATGGCACAATGGAAGTATAAAACTGTTTAAAATAGAACAGATAGCATCTACAGATAATTATTTAAAGAACCAGAAACATTACGATTAAATTACAAATTAATAAAACATAAAGTAATACTTATATTAAAATACGAGATGCAATCAAGAGTTGAGGCACAAACGATTGATTGAATGGGAGAAGCTCTAACGAGTATTTTATACAATTTTTACTATTTTGCGTTTTTATGTTTTTCAAAAAAAAAATTTGGGAGTTTTACGTCCGTTGGTGACATGAAAAATTCAAGTCAAACTCAACATTAAATACACTAGGTTAGTAACGTATTGGGAGAAGATATTATTAGAATTGTTAAAGATGCAAAATAAAAATATAATATAAAAAAACTGTAAAGTTTTAAAAACAATTATTTCTACTATTTTACTACTGAAAAAAAGTAGCTACAGATTACTTTTAGTCCAAATATTAAATAACTATAATTAAATATTTTTTTATTGCAACATTTGTCAGAATCCCTAAAAAGCAATGATTTAACCATTTTTTTGGTAATTATAACTAATTAGTATAAACATTTTTTCGAAGAAAACTTGGTTAAATTTTATCATATCTTATTACGTCTCAAAAATGGTTTCCACAACGCTATTTTTTAGCACTAATCGTGTAAAAAACTGGAGTGAAAAGTGTAAGAGCAATTTTCACCCTTTAGGACCCGTATTATCCTCTCGACAGAATAATTTTCGCCTACTTTAAAAAGAACAAAGGATAACTCATCAAGAATTACCTACATTTTTAAGGGTAACAACAAAATGATGAAAAATGTTAAGATCCTAAAAGTTAAAAAAATTGTCATGTATTTCGCCGTTCTTCACACCTGATTGATGACTTGAATTTATCTGTCAATGATTGAAAAATGGGCAAATTAAGATTTAAATTATAGCCCAATTAAAGCAATTTAATCTAAAATATCCCACTTACTGCAAAATGTAATCATGTTTCCATACGCGGCACTCGTATATGTTTGGCGCGTTTCCTAGTGCAAGCGTCGACTTTCCCCGTGGTACAACGACGTGGAACTGAAGCGTCGCGACGCCGACACCACTATTATGCGTAGGGCTTCCAATGTGCGCCTGCACGTACGAAATCTAAGTAAACGACTCATCACACTGCGACTAAATTAGATTGAATTTCCTGTGCATTTAGGGCCACTCGACTCGACAGGAAGTTATTGTGATGCTCATCCATTTAAAATCGGTGTGTATTCATCTTCAGACGCTTCCTGTTCGAAAAGGCGACCATTTATTACACGAAACGAGATTATAATTAATTCGATTCAGTCGCGAGCGTTTTCTTTGAAGTGATTTTAAGTAGGTAGGTGTTCGCATTGTCTAACATTCGGATGAATATACCTACAACAAGCGGCATTATAATGAATATAAGCTTGGTTTATTCGATCGATGACGCCTCACAAATACTTAACATGACGACGGATTGGTGCATTAATGGAAAGGTTAGTTTCACGACGACAAAGAAGGGTTTCAATAGAAAATCCTAATTAACAAATTATTTACTCATGTTTAAAGTTTGTTCACAAAAAATGCTTTACATCTATGAGAAGTTGTTCAGAGAGAAAGGATCTGTAACGCAGTAAAATTTTATTTTAGGTACTCAAACGGGACGAAAAAGTGAATTTACTATGGCGGAGAATTTTTTAAAATTTATTAGAGGTGTGAATTCGTTTTTTGGAAGCTTTAACAAAAAATGTTGCTTGTAACTAAAATATTTTTGCGGTCTCATATGATATTCCAGACTCGGCTTCGCCTCGTCAACGATTTGTCCGCAAAAATTATATTTTAAGTACTTGCAACAAAAATAAGTATTTTGTACCTAAACGCTCACAAAAACAGCTATTTTACAGACTCATTTGAGTCCCCAAAATGATTCTTTTTTGAACTCAATAAAATACATTGGCCGCCAAAATTAACCGGACAACTAAAATTTTGCGTTTTTTCACATTTTTTGTCGGATTTCGACAAATTTTTGTTTTACTTAAAGAAAAAAAATTGTAGATCATTGTAATTTAAATCAGTAACATTTCTAGTTTTGTCTTCTAAATGTGTTACTCAAAAGACGGAGGCACTGTTTTTTTTTGCTTATTTTTATACTGAGCTGTGGTATGGAGAGAGGCAAACTAAAGTTTTTACTGATTTCAGATTATTGCCCATTATTTTTTGAATTATGTCACATTTTCCATAATTTTAATTCTTGAGACATGAGAGATATAAACCTTCAAAAAAAACGTCAAAATAGGCACATGGAAGCTTGCAATAATTAACCATAATCCTTTGAAGCTCCAAGTTTTTTAGATTTTTTGTGTTCAAAGACATAATTGTGCTTTTTTGGTGACATAAGCAATAATTTTCGGTTTAGCCACCTTTTTATGTAGCTTACTTTCTGAACGAATATTTAGTAACATTAGAAAAGCAACGTCTTTTTCGATGCTTTGTATCTCTGGAGCACCAGAAGATAAAATTTTGAAATAAATTGGTCCTCATTCAGAAAAAAATGGGCAATAATCTGAAATAAGTAGGTAAAAAAATAGTAAAAAAACAGTGCTCTCGTCTTTTAGTTATAACATTTACAAGACAAAACTAAAAATGTTATTGAATTAAATTACAATGTCCTGCAAAGTTCCTTCTTTAAGCCGAACAAAAATTCGTCGAAAAAGGACAAAGAAAAACTAAAATATTTCAATGTAAAAAATAGCAAAATTTTAGTTGTCCGGTAAAGTTTGGCGACCAGTTTTGGCGCAAACTTTTGCTTTAGAAGTATGTTTTGCATTTTTGGCAAATTTGGATTTATTGGCTAATTTTTTTCAAAAATGTCTCTTGTCTTATTTTTTTAATTACTATAAAATACAGATATCATTATTATTCATAAACAAAATTTTAAAATGAATTTGTATTTAACTAAGAAAACATTTGATTTTTCACAAATTTAATCAAGAAATGCTGCACGTACTCTTACATGTGAATTTTAATAAGCTCCACTAACAAGCATTATTGATTTCCATTTCATTTTAATTTTTCTAATATGTCAAGATGCGTTTTAATCACTCTTTCAAATTTTCTATTACCTTGAAACACGATCGATTTAATAAAAAATTCCTTTTAATAGCTGCCAAACTGTTTGATCCTTACATAAGAATTAATAAATGTCAGTGATTAAAGGAGCCTGAACGTCAAAGGATTTATATGCACAGACTAAGTCTAGTTTTACTTTAAAATTCATGCTAAGTGCACGTTCTTGCATGGATTAACAATAAAGAGAAGTATAATAAAGGCTGGTCTTTTTTTATGTTACTGGAACATTAAATTACAAAATTCTCGTTCAGATTTTCAATGAAGAAGCTATTTCAATTATTAAAAATCTTCGATTTTGGTTGGAGTAAATCAATAATCAGTGTCTCCCTTGTATTGTAACTAATAAATCCTTTAACACAACTTTTTATGGAGCATAAACGGAATTTCTCCGACTTTGATTTGGCAAAAATCCCTACCTTTGGTAAGACAAGCTTTCAAACCGATACTAATAAAATTGAGCATTGCCTAAAACCTGGAGTTTTTTTCGAAGCAACGACGTCTGTCGTATAAAGTTTGTATTGAGTTTAGAAACATCGTAAAGTTTCAAATTGAAGAAAATCACGTCGGCTCTTTTGACAAACTTATTTATTTATAAAATCATTTGTTTATAAAATTTTGTGACATTAACAATTTTTGTTGTGGGAAAATTCCTCTGTGGGAAATTAATATACATCGAATTATGAGAAAGGCCCTTTTCAATAAATTGCACCAGTCATGACTACTTTGCATCAGGAAATCGTCGTCCCAAGTAAGCAATCCATCCTTGTTACATTTTTCCACTTCAGGACAACACATTTCCATTAACCGTAATTTAACGTTGTTTGCAATAATTACGAGTTAATTCGAGTTGACAAGATTTTAACGTGTTCCATCCCGGTTTTAACCCGATTTCCAAGACTTGAAAAATTATCCTCTCTAATCAATCAAAGATTTTTGAAAGGCGGAAATTTCGCAAACTCCCTCTAATCACTCCTGTGTCTATTACAGACAGATTACTCTCATTAATAACCCAACTTGTATGCTTTAATCATAACAAACCGCTAAAACGACTCGTAATTAATCCTTTCAGAGCCTGAACATGAGGCACAGGAAGTCGGCGGGAGCAGCCAGGAGAGCTTCAACGAAACGGTAAGTATTAGAGCATCCCTATCAGTCTCTTACCCCATTAAACCTTCATTAAACCACACACTACATTTCCATTTCCTCAGACAAAAGAACTCTTTCGTCGCGAGTCCCCCGTAAAAGAGCTCTCCCCTCCCCCCGTCGAACCGACCCCGAAGAGCACACCCACCTACAAACCCACCAGACCTGTCAAAGCCCCCCTTGCAAAAAAAGAAAGCGCGACCAAAAAAAAATCCAACTCCGGGATCCCTCTACGACTTAAATCCGGGTCTAACACGATGAACAAACCGGCGGCGAAAACCGGAACTTACCGCCATTCCCAACCCATGGGCCCTATCATCAACAAGAACACTCTGGAAGTCCAATTTATGAACAACAAGAAGCGACTTTTACAACTCCACACCGAACTTGTGGAGAAGCAAAGGCCGCTCTTGGAGATGCATAAATCGCTCTTGAGGACGAAGAAACAGCTCGAGGAGTTGGGCAAAAAGGTGGTGCTCGAGGATATTAAAATAGTGTCTCTGAAGACGGACGATGTGAACCCAAAGAATCAATTAGACGGTGCTGGTGAAAATCCCGCAGCTGAAACTGCGATGAATTTGAAAAGTTCAATCGAAAATGCTTTGGAGACTTGTGTAAAAGTTTGTAAAAAATGTTTCGTGAAACGTGATCAAGTTGTCAAAATGTTGGAGAGTGCGTCAAAATCCGCAATAGAACCGTCAGAACTCGAGGCAGAAGTTGAAGAGCTTAAAAAGGAGAGAGACGACATGGAGCAAACTGTCGAAAGTGCTATCAAAGAAAACGAAAAGAAAATCGATGAGTTGATCAACAACTGGCAAAAAGCCGTGAAAATGGGCAGTATGAATGAACAGTTGAGTAACAAAATTGCCGAGTTGGAGGATACCATCAGACAGCAACAGAAGGCGATACAAGATGCCGAAGATAATCTTCACTCACTAAATCGGAAATTTGAAGACAAGAAAGCAACGTACGAGAAGACCATCAGCGAATTGCATGATAAAAATAATGTGAGTTTTTCCTATTGTTGCTTATTTTATTAATAGCGATGTTTAGAAACTTGAGGAAGAAATGAAGAAAGAAAAAAAAAGTGCTAACGACAACTTGATGAAAAGCAGAAGTATGCGTAGCAAAGTCGCCGAGTTGGAAAGTCGTACCAAAGAAGCCGAAGAGAAGCACAATGAAGTGTCCAACAAACTTAAGTAAGTTTTTTGATGGTTGAAAGCAAAAATAAAGTTGTTTCAGGCAATTGCAGGATCAAATGAGGCGGAAAGAAATTCAATGGATGAAAGAAAAAGATGAGCTGAAGAAAAACGAAGTACTCCTCCAACAAAAGTTTTGTGAGAAACAATCTCAATTCGATACAAGGTGTTTAGTTAATATTACGTTGAAAGCTCTTAACGAGCTCATTATGCCGTCGGTGTATGATTTGAAATAGTATAGTAAATATATCACTTTATATAAATCTGTTTCTTTTTAAAACCCTTGTCCAAACATCAAAGAAGATCATCGAATCAGGTGATTGAAACCCTTGTTGATGTTTGGACCATCGACTGATGTTACAAATTGTTTTTCTTTAGGCTGAAAGACATGGAGAAAATGCAGAAAGATACGGAACAACAGCAGCAAAATTACTATCGGAATTTTGAAACTCAACTCGAAATCAAAGACCAAGAATTCGTGCTTCTTGAAAAAGAAAAGGAAGAGTTGGCGGAGAAAAGTCGGATTTTGGAGGATCAATTAGAAGAATTGAAAAAACAGCTTGAGTTAAAAGAGCGAGAAATTGACCAGTTGAGTGTAAAAGCAGATCCCATGGCGGCCCTCGAGTACAGCAGTGAAAGCCAATTGATGGAATTAATGGAATGCAAACGTAAAATCGCGGAAGTGCAAAACACCATTCAGCAACAAAACGACCAAATTAATAAAATGCAAAGCTCGCTCAAAGCTCATGCAAAACTGGCGGCTGCACTCAAACTGGAGAAAGACAATGCAATCAAATACTCGAATAAATTAAGAGAAGTGTTGCAGGAGGTATCATTGCATCAATTTGGTGTTGAAGAGAATAATTTTTCATATTGTAGGCGCACGACGAGATCGAGTACAAAAACAAGACCATTTACAAAATCCACGAGAAATTGGTCCTGAAAGATCGGGATTATGACAAGTTGAAGGAGCAGTTGAAGGAATTGGAGACGTTTTCGGAGCAATACGGCGGCGACAAGTGGAACAACAGAAACAGGTGCCAGATCTGCATGACATCTCTCAGTGGAGAAAAGGAAAATTCATCATACGTCGAAAGCGAAGTGGGTAAACGTAGTGCTAGATTCCCGCAATACGTGTCTGAATCGTTGATTGGCATGTCTGTGAAAAAAGTTGATCATCTCCGGGCACGGCTCGACAATTTGAAGAAAATGAAACTTCCGAGTAATTCAGGGAAAAAGCATCTCAACGTCAAATATTCGTTCACGGCAAGAGACGCGAAACCGATTAGCAATCGGCTTCAAAAACAAATCGAGTTGAGGGGGAAATTGTATCAAATTTTGCAAAAACATGCCGATCAATCTTGTGAGGACTTCATAAATTTGTTAAAGTTGACGGTGTCAAATGCGGAAAAAACTACCGAAGAATTAAAACCTTCAAACATTAGAGACATTGAGGAAACGCTCCAAAATGTCCCGCGAGATTTTTCAAATATTAAAATAACCGATTCGTATAGTGGCATTTCGCAGTATCTCGAAGCGGCCCCACTTAATGAATTTTACGGAAAATTTGGTACTCCTACCTACTCAGACACTGACGACATGATTTGCTAGTTTCCTTTTATTGTTAGTTAAAGAAAGGTTTGAAGGATTTAATTCTGTCATTTGTGATGGTTTAGTACAAGTGTTTTTTTGTATTTCAGAGCGAAAATTAAATTCATCAGGCCTTTCTCATCCATCAATGAACAAACCCAAAAATGTACAATAACAAGGAACAATAATAAAAGATGCTATGTATAAAAAAAATCCTTTATTTTTTACAACTTATTCACTATTTTCACTATCGCTGTATGCACCTAAAAGTGACAAGCCGCTACTTTGAGGCTTTTCCTCTTTTTTTGGTTCGTCCTTTTTAAGTTTCACGAGTCCTGATAACATCTTTCTTGCACTAACGGCTTTTTTCTGGATTCTTGGCTCATTAAATGTGATTTCAGTTTTTGGTGTCTCAGATTTTGATACTTTTACTTCTGGTTCATCCTCTTCAATTATTTCCTCTTCCACCACCACTTTCCTTTTTTGAGAATTCTGAAATTTAATTGTCCTAAAATAAATAAAATAAATAAATCGCGATTTGAAAATGGACCAGAATTACTTGACGTATTCATCATCCAACTGTTGCAGTTTTTCTTCTCGTTCACGTTGAGAAATGGTCGAATCATAAGCCAGTAACATGGAGTCATAATCGACAGTTTCTTGTCTTCTATTTAAATCTTTCAATTCTTCAAGAGACTCCAAAAGTTCTATTTCGTTTTTAGACTGTTTGGTGCGATTTTCAAGCAACTTCATTGGATTACTTGCTTCTTCCTCCTTAGCTTCTTCTTCTTCTCTTATAGCTTGTTCCTCGGCTAATTTCAATGCCATGAAATTACGAGTTGCACCAGCTTCTATCTCGTAATCGGTGTTTTTGGGATCCGTTTTGAATGAAATCTCTTGTAGACATCTCGTGCACTGTTCGAAAAAATTCTTGCTATAAAACTTTTCTCAAAACATTCACTCATAACATAGGAAAACTTCGTTTCCTAATAAACACCGTGTATTACTAAAATCACGAATATGATTTGCTAAACATTCTTTAGACGTTCTGTAGTTTATGAAACCCCTCAAATAAATGAATAATATTACGGTTTTGTGATTAGGTATGTATTTTTGGGTGTAGTGTAGACAAAGATTATGTGAAACACCTTGTACATAAATTGATTGGGCAACAACCCGTAACCCGTAAGTGTATTATGTGTTGCATAATCTCAAAATCCATAACACAAATATTTCACAACAGTTTGTTTTTGTTAAGCAGTTTTATTTCTTATAGACTCAAAAGAATGTCTTTTTGTACTTACTTTGATATAAAATCGATATATTCGAATTCCTAGATAATCATCGTTCTCAACATCCTCTTTTCGCGCATTGAATTTTTTGCCTTTGTAAATGTATTCCCCACAAGTTTTACATCTCATGTTGAAGGGTGCCATCAATCGTACAGTATATTGACGATTTTTAGGCAGTTTCATGCGTGGAATTTTTGACGGATCGAAGTCCGGGGGGTAGTATTTCTAGAAAGTTAACCAATGACACAAATATTATTTTTCTTGTAAAACAACTTACATTTAAAACTTTACGCTCCGACATCTTTGTTTTCTTTTAAATTAGTTAAAATTATTTAAGCAAAATGCTAAACGTAGAAATCTAGCTGACAAGCAACTGTCAAACGTGAAGTTAACCATGGCCTCAGTAGTCAGTAATTTATTTGTTTGTGCTTTAAAACTACGAGGCAAGTGAGCTACTGAAGATTAAGGTCCAACACTGGAGGAAGAAAGTAGGCAAAAATATCGTCTCCTAATAATAGTTTGTTTTTGTGTTCATCTATAAAGTATGTTTAAACTATATCTTTGCACAAGGAGATAAAAAAATTACGTATGTGTAAAGTGGGGCGATGAGTGTAGATTTCACTTCGGTCTCTGATCCTGAAATCTTAGAAGAAAAGATAAACATTTCGCGGCATAATAAAATGCCGGCAAGTACATAACAAATGTTTGAAACCCACACATTCGGAAGAAATTACGTCATTCCGAATTTTCAAGGTTGAAAATTTTCGTAGTCACTTGACACTGTTTAATAAGACGTATGGGTAAAATTGCCCGCATAATCTTTCCGGTTTCCCGTTAATGGTTAAAATTAATTATATTCGAAATTAGTAGGGGCTGTGGTTAATTGTCGAGTCCTTGAATTAAGTCAGCCCTCCTGGAATGTCTCAACAAGAACTGGCACATTTTCATTGGAGCATCATAAAATTAAATGCCAAGGGATTAGACCATTAGGCAACAAAAACAGGATCGGAATCGTATTGCAAAGCCAAAGAGCGTTTTGCACGCACACCGCATCATCTCAGACAGCGCTGCTCGCATCCTTATTTAGATAAACTACAGAATTACAAGAGATTTTATTGGCTCGCGAGGTATTCTAATAATTTATTATCACCTTTTGCTTCATTTTATTACTACAAATAGTCGAGGGTCGTAATCGATTCCCTTAATCTGCTGATAGCCGCGCTTTTTCTTCCTTTTGCCTCCTCAAAGATGAGACCAAAATGGGCTTTCAAGCCGCGGCCATCCGCGATGATGACTCTGCAATCTCTTCGCTTCGAGCGCTTTTATAAAAATTACTTATACATATTTATCACTTTGAGATAATAATCTAACATTCATTGTGACAATTTACCAAAATTTAAAAACCCGTAGACAATATTTTTTATTTTATACATCAAATTTATGTCAGTGTAAGCCATGCTTTACTGTCATTATGATTGACATTTGAAATTTATTTTTGGCGTCGACTTTCCGAAACAATAATGCCAGCAAGTACGTGTTTTTATAGTTCAATAAATTATTTTGGTTTGATGTAATTTTTCCACTATCAGGATAAAAATTACAAAAACCGAAAGTGAGGTTAGTTGCCTAAGGCCCGTTTTACATTTTTGACAGTCGAATGACAAATCGTCCAAAATTCCGTGTTCACCAGCTGTTATGAATTTTAAAATCAAACTCCAACTTAGGTATCCTATAGTTTTAATTCTGAATTGTAACAGCAATGAATACGAGTATAAAGTGTAATTAAATTAATTTCACGAGTTAAATAGAAAAAAGTGTCAAGAGCAGGGCTCGAAACCTACGATTCGAGTTGGTGTTGGTACGTACTTATTGAAATTACTGCCTAGGATTTTGGGATATTCGTGAATAGGTTGTCATAAATTCGGGTAGGTTGGTTTCTGGTGACAAACAAAATTGATATCGTAACTAGTGTCAAAATTTAGGTTAAGTCACTTGTCAGCTTGCATGTATAATTGATAGTTGACAGTAGGTTGTCAGAAAACGTCAACCGTCAACAATAAAGGGTAACCAACCCTAGACATTCAAAATTTCTTCTTTAGTTAGTTACCAACAACATGAAAAACGTAATTTTCCTAAAAGTTCAAATCCTCTTGTTGACAAATCTGTATTTCCGAATTGAATAAAAAAAATTGCAAGTGTTCTTGATTTCGGAGAAGGAAGTCCGATTGTCGGTCGGTGCGTCTCGCTGGAGGGCTTCCAAGTCCATGTTGGCCGTTGTCCCGACCTGTTACCCTCCGCCCTGCTGAATACATTCTACAAGTTTTCGTCCTTGTCACGACTCGTGGCGTGGGAAACGGCGCTCCCACTACGCGCATTCTGCAGACGATAACACAATCAGCTGTTACCAGATTTCACTAATCATTCTCCTGGTTCATGGATCCGGCAGCATTCTCTAATCCGCCGAAGACACTTCAACACTTAATTAATCGTCAAGGCCGCTTTTCCGACTGACACCTGTTGTGGTTTTGACCCAGTTCGGCCGGAAGCAGACTACTCGCCGAGTTTTCGCAGTGGTATTTCCTTTCAGTGCGAGTAAAAACAAACCGGCAAGACCTCTGCGTGGGGCCTTCCGCAGGCGACAAATTTATAATATAGATGGGTTCATGAATTATTACAGTCATTAGGCAGCGCTGCTATGATGATAAATGTTGCTTTTTTTAACGCCTATACAACACTTTCGACGAATGGGTTTATTTTTAGCGTGAAATGGGGCCCCACCACCTGAAACCTATATCAACCGGCACTGAGCACAGGTTTTCGCCACCGAACCAATCAGGTGCAACCTGTAAAGAACTACTCCAATTAAGTAGACCAATGGAAATTTAACAGACGTTCCTCCAGATTGGGAACGACCTTCAACCTCCAAATGGAAAAAAGTCTAACAAACACCTATTTCTTATTGCGTACTCATTTGTTCCATCAGTAAATTTTTTTTTACTAAATTATTGTGTATTCTGTCTTTCAAAAAAGTATTTTTTAGTCATTTCATTTATATGTTGACAAGGCCCTGCTTAATTAAGTCGTATATTGACATAACGGTAAATGTAAATAAATTTTAAAAAGATATTCATATTTAAACATGCAATAATAGTTAATATTTACATATTTATCTTTTTTACACGCATCAATAAACTTAACTTTAACAACGTACGACACAGTTTTGATAAAGTAAAAACTATCAGGTAGTAAGTACACTTGAGTGCAAAAAAAACACAAATTGTCAAAAACATGATTGTCAAATTTTTCAGAGATTTACATAGTATGAACAAGATTGTTCCCAAAAAGGTTAGAAAACTATCAAAAGAAATGTCTTATTTGGTGGTCTTGCCAGTGCAGTGTCATAGTCAGTGTTAAAAAAAGTGGAAAAACATGAAAAAACTTGATAGAAAAATTATGAAATTGTGAATGGTGACAACGACAACGTCAAAAAAGTGGCATTTATTAACAGACCAAAATACATTTTTTTTGCACTCAAGTGTACATATATAAAAAAAAGTTACCTAATAAATCAAACATTCTCTGTTTTGTACAGAATAATTTTAAAAGTATATTTGAAAGTAGAAAAAATAGCATGTTCTAATGAAGCACTCTCCGCTTCGCTGGTCGTGTTTCAAATAACTGATCTTCTAACACCCAATTGATTTTGTGACTGTATCTGACGTTTATTTACTTTTGTTTTTGATTCAATAACTCTAAATAGAGTTGTAAATCTAGAAAGTGGTATTTACTTATAATAAAAATAAAAAAAAACAACAAAATACAATGAGATGTACTACATAATTTATAGAGGGTGTTAAAAAAAGTTTGTAAAATATTTCAGGAGGTAATAGTATGGACTAAAACAAACAAAAAAATCTTAATAAACATGGGTTCGCAAAGTAACGATTTCGGAGATAGGTATCAAAAATTATTCGTTTTTTGAAACATTTACTTACAGTCTGTTCAAACAAAAAATAGAAGCTGCTAGTATGTATTCTAAAAATTTTCACATCCGATATCTCCAAAAAAAAAACACTTCTTTATGACAAGAGAAAAAGAAACAAGTTTTATATACTAAATATGTATTTGTTTTATGAATAATAGAGAATCGATGTTGTTATTTTATTGTATATGTTTATAGTGTATTTAACACAAACAAAAATACTAAATAGAAACAAAAATTATAAATACACGAGTAATTTATACCTATACAGAGTGTCAAAAAAGTGTAAAATACTTGAGATAATATAGTTTGGATCAAAATAAACAAAAAATTCTTAATAAACATGGGTGCGCAAAGTAACGGTTTCGGAGATATGGAATGTGATTATTTTTTACCCCCTTTTTTATTTTGCAAAAAGTTTCATTTTCTTATCATAGTTATCTACTTTTTTATTTTGCAAAAAGTTGCATTTTCTTATCATAGTTGGCTAATGTTTTGTGAAATAAACACTAAGTATTTGACTGTTGTTGTCAAAGTCTGCATGATCGCCTTTTTTGTTTATTTTGGTCCATACTAATACCTCCTTAAATATTTTACAATCTTTTTTTTAACAGCCTATATACAGCAAAATTATGGAATAATCTTATTAAAACTAAAAATAAGTATTTTGTTTTGGCAAAAATGCTCGAACAGGCCAATTTTCTTTTTAAAAAATACACAATTTTCAACTTGATTTAAAATTTTACACTTTTTGATTTTTGTGTAATATTTTTTAAATGGAAACCCCTAATTTTTTAGCCAATTCGATAAAACGTTTAATTGTCGAAATTATAACACCAAAATATTAAATAGTACCTAATTACATAAAATTTTCGAAAAAAAAATCATCTAAAAAGTGAAATATGTAATATCAACAACAAACAAACATACAATTTTAAATCAAGTTAGGAATTTTGTATTTTTTAAAAAGAAAATTAGCCTGTTCGAGCATTTTTGTCAAAACAAAATATTTTCAGTTTTAATAAATATGATTATTTCATAATTTTGCCGTTTACTGTTCACAATAATAATAAATACCTGTTAATTTTTAGTGTTTATACTCAAATTCAGTACCCTCCCTGGTCTAAATTTACCACTAAATGTAGTAAATATTGCTTTATTATTTTTATTCAGTAAGCAGTAATAAAACAGTAGGCAGTAACCAAGAAATTAAAGTGGCAGACATCATTATCAATCGTTTTGTACGATTTTAGAAATACAATCCAATAAAATCAGAATAATGGAAGTATTATTATTGCCATTTATTTGCACTTTCCATCACATCAATTTTTCTTAAAAAACGTTATTGCGTTTTAGATAAGTCACGTTAGATGAAGGATAACAAATTCCTAAGCGCAAAACCAGCATATAGTTTAAAGCACATAAAATGGTATCGAATCATTGTTTCAGATGACCTGAAAC